GGTTTTGGTCACCACCATCAGATATTCAAGCACCTTCTTTCTTCATATTGTTAGAGTTTATTATGTTGTTCTTGGAAACCAAATGAAGAACCGTTGCGTCGTTAAGAACCGATGACAGGAGCGAAGACTGTGGGGAAGGACTTGCAGCCGCTCCTTCCTGTCGGTGTCCAGTTTCTCTCCAACAGCAGAAGTTGGCAGGTTCGACTCTATTCTTTCTTTTATTGTGCCGTCTCTCCTGCAGCCTCCGTACTCACGTGTTCTCTCCGACACTGGGAGCTGTGGCTCCTGGGGGCCAAATGAAGTCCACATTTCTCCCCCTCCGAGCTGTCAGTGCTCCGCGCACAGCTGAGGCGCGCCGTAAAAAATGAGACTCAGCGGGACATCAGATCTCTCGCTGACAGCTTCGTCTGAAGATTGAGTCTGTCGAAAGTTGATGATCTGCATAGGATGCAAATGTGGACGGTCCCCGGGGCCCACTGTGGGGGCCGTGGTGAACCACAACTGTGTTTTGAGCAACAGTCTGCCAGAACTCTTTGCAGAAGAGTTTTATTCAGTAGCCTGGAATGGAGTTCTTGCTTTGCCACCAGCTCAGCACCCTGCAGGATCACCACTGGTTATCACTCAGAGCTTCAGGAGAAGAATCCCAGGATGGAAAAAATATAAAACAAGATAAAAATAATATTACTCCTTAAAGTTACTTTTAATCTGCAGATAATTCATTTATAATGTCAGTTTTTATAGCAGGTTAGAAAGAAGGGAAGTTGTGTTTCGGTGCAACAATTAAAATAGAACCAAAATAAACACACGAAGGCTTGAAAAGATGAAAAAAAGAAACGAGCTTTTCTGCTGAGCACTGAGTGGAACAGAGTTTCAGATCGAAGCAGTGATGAAACCTTATTGGCTCCAAGAGTCTGAATAAAACCCCAGAACAGAAACAGAAGTTTGACACATTTTTGTTTCCTAATTACTGTCTGTTTTCCAGACCCTAATGTCCAGATGTCACTAGATTTTTCATCCATTTGTGATCCCTTCATACAAACTGCGACAGTAAATGTTTAGAAAGCGGTCAGACTTTAATGTGTTTGCCCTGAACATCATTTAAAATCAACAGACGGAGGAAACGTGACAGGAAACATCTCCAAACCTAATCTTCTTGGATGGGTTTATGGTTCTGCTAAAAACAGCTCAAGTTGTGTTGGTTTTGTAAAAGTGTGCTTCTGTTTAGAGAAAAACAGAAAAACTGTCTGTTTTAAGGCCAACTTGTGACTGACAGCTTCAAACACTTTTTTTAAATTCAGATTTTCATTAGTTAAAAAATAAAACTCTGGAAACAAACATCCCATTTTTGTTTTAATTTATCATCTTTTAGCTCTATAAAGTGCAATAATAACTAGACATGGGTTTTTACGATGTAAAAACAAGTGTGCATTACTATGTAGCATGTCATTGCAGCATGGCTTTGCCTGCAGCATTGGACTTGCAGAATGAACTTTAACCAAGTTCAAATGTGTTTTCTGTACCAGCTTGTGCCTGTCACGTCAGCAGGTGTTTGTAAATAAGGTAATTGTGTGACAATATGAAATTTGAAGAGATTTTTTGTTAAAGTTGCATTAGCTGGGTTTTGAACCCCGATCTCCCACATGAAAGTTCATGACATAGACCATTAGACCAATAAACCTGTGGCAGGGGTTGGTTTGTATGTGTGCAGAAAGAGGCCACATTGCCAATACAATTATTGACACAAAAATGCATAATATTACAACAACCGAGCAGTATTAAGACAATGTTATAGTAAAACATCAACATACAATCATATTAGTATTGTAAACACTGAACTACTGAGTTGAAATATTAAACTATGGTGCAGTACCAAGTTGAGTGCATGGGGCAGTATTGGACCAATACAAGGCTCCATTGACTGCCATTATAATTCATTAAACATTAATATTTCATAAACTATAAGTTTTACAGGCACCAAAAGGCATAGCCATCATTTGGCACAGGAGCTTTACAGATATAAATTACAATGGCAGCTCTAGGACAAAGTATGCAGGAGGAGAAGCGTGCCAAAGTTGAGATGATTTGGATGGGAAATGAATCATAATAGTGTGCATTGCATTGGCAATGCACACTGACTAGAGAATTTGCATTTCCTGCAAAAAAAAAAAAAAAACAGTGTAAATGCCTACTCTTGAAAGGTTTTTACTGAATAGCTAAAATATCTGAAAATATGTTGTTGTAGCTAAAAAAAGATGTAGCTAAAATAACAGGGTTCCCGCGGATCCTTAAAAAGTCTTAAAAGGCCTTGAATTCATCAATTCAAAAATAAGTTCTTAATTAGCCTTAAAAGGTCTTAAATCAATCTTCCGAAGTCTTAAAAATGTTAACACATTATAAGTAGGATGACTGTAATTGTATCAAATCTTAAAATAATTGGTAACATTAATTTGTTTTTGAAATATTCCCATTCAGATGTTCCCTTCTGACACCACTTCACATGCAAATATCTCAACAAATGTCCATCTGAGCAGTGTGAAATTCACTTTTTAGTGTTACTAATGTTGTCTTCCCAAAAATGCATTCATATTTCTTACAAAAATTTGATGTCACATGCACTTTAAGGTTTCATCTACAGCAAGCTGGGGTTGAGAACCCACTGTGGGTCATAAAACTGCAAATGTTGGGTCATTAGAGGATTTCCAGAAATTAAATAAAGTTTAAAACTGACTGCTAAGAATGTTTTTTAATAAACAATTGGTCTATTAGCAATATTTGAATAATTCAACCAAAAATACTTTGATTAATGAGTTTCTGCCACAGTTGAAATGTTTTTGTCATTTGTATTTATTGTGAAATTGGTCTTTAATTTGATTTCACTTGGCATTTAAGTCTTGAAATGTCTTATTTTAACTTTCCATAAACTGTAGGAATCCTGACTAACTGAAATTAGCACAAAGAAACAGAATGAGCATGTTTGCTGAATTAAGCCGTAAAAAGCAAAAATGATCACAAAAATGTGAATCAGCTAAAATGTAACACACTAAAAAAGAGCTGAAATTAGCAGAAAACAGTTGAAAATATAAAATAGCAGAAACACAAATTTTTTTTTAAATTAGCTGAAGAGTAGTAGAATGATACAGTAGCTAAGAAAAGCAGAAAAAAGCTAAAAATAACTAAATAGAAGCCAAAAGAAGCTGAAATCAGCCCAAAGAAGTATCAGAACCAGAAAAAAAGGTAAAAAGTTCAGTAAAGATTTATTAACATTTTGAAAGTTTAGGATGCTGAAGACAACTCCATTCAGTTTTAAAGAAAAAAACATGCAGTAACAGCTAAATATTTTAAAAAGCATAAATTGCCGAAAAACCTAAGGTTATAGTTTGCAGAACAATACATGCGCCAAAAAACGTATGGAAAAAATATTTTATTTTGTGAATTATAAAGTATTCACTTAAGTTCTATAATGCCAGTTTTTTCCCCCTTAAACCAACAGACAGTTGTCTCTGATGGATGTTTGCAGGTCGCTACAGATGAGAACGTTTATGTCGTCTCAGTCTACACCAACTAAAACTAACAGAAATCAGGAGCTGGCCTCTGGCGTGTTTATAACACTTGATAAAGATTTGTCCCAAAGTGAGAACATCTTTTAAATAAATTGCCAAACCAAGTACAAACACGTTTTAAACTAAAAAAAGGCAGTTTTAGAACTGGGTTTAAACATTTACTGAGCGGTGAAACATAAAGAAAAGCTTAAAAACCTTTGTGACATTTTATTTTACAAATGAGTTTTACCAACTAAAAACCATCAGATAAAGTTCCTGTTAGTAAAAGAACTGATTATTGTAAGTTTAAAGAAAATAACTGTGATTTAATGTTTAGTTTAATGTTTAGTCTAACTTTATCTTTGCAGGACTGAGACTCAAACAGTCCAACAGGGTGGATTATATATATTTATATGTACTGTATTTATAACATACATGTATATGTATGTATGTAGGACAGAGTTAAATAAAAGGGCAAATTCATCCCAATTAGCTCCAACAATTATCTACAATTACAGCGATGGGAGACGAGATCGCACATCAGCTTTGGTTATTTGTGTTTGAAGGTGGCTGCCGGGGCGGGGGAGCGGGCGGGGGTCTCCATCAGAGGTGCAGGACTGGACCCAATGACTCATCCTGAAAGGATCTAAAGTTCTGGTTTGGCTTTTAAAAGAGAGCGGGTCCAACTGTCACAACTGTGAGAGTATGAAAAACACCCATTCCCTGGATCTAAACAAAACTGTGCAGAGAAAAGGAGTGGGAGGGGAAATGAAGGATGGAGGGATGGAAACGACAGGAAGGAAGTTGGAAAATAATAAAACTGGTGATTAGACTGAGAGAAAAGGGATAAAACAAGAAATATTGACCAGAGAGAATATTCAACAGGAGACAAAACATTTAAAATGTACTTCAAGAAGTTCAATGAGAATCTGCAGAAGTGTTTAAGTGAAAAATGACAGAAAAACATTTGGAAATAAAAAAAAATCAGAAAAACAAATAAATAAATCAATAATCACAGCTGAAGAAATGAGCAAAAAATCCTTAAAATATTAAAAATTGCAGATTGAAACAAAAATAAGTAAATATTTTTTAAAGAAGATTATAAAACGGGACAACATAAAATGAAATGATTGTGAAATATGGGATCTTTGAAAAAACAATGGAGGAAACTAATGATCCGGAAAAAAAACCATTCGAAGAAAAAAATAAGAACAAAAAAGAGAAGAAATAAAACAACTGAAAATAAGATCAGTAAAGAAAATTGAGCAGAAAATATTAAAGCAGAAAAATAAAACTTCAAGAAAGTTTTGAAAAGTTATAAAAGAAACAAAAGGAAGTGAAGAAAACAGTAAAGTAAAAATAAAGAACAGATCAATATTTGCAGCTGAAACACCTGCTAAAAGAAAAGTAAAAGATACTCTTTAAGTAAAATAAAACTTTTTATTTTTATTTTGTCTCCAGTGAAGCTGAAAGTGATCGAGGGGCCGGTTAGTTAGAAGCAGCTGTGTGTTTGACCCCCACACCCCCACCCCCGCACACAGGATCTCCATCACGCTGACAGCCGGGCCGCAGCTCAGATCAGGATTCAGGAGGACCAGCAGGTCTCAGCTGCTCCTGAACTTGATCAGGCCCACCTCCAGAGGGCGGGACGGGACATCCTAACCATCCAGGACCCATCGCTCCTGCAGAGACTCAGGATGGAAACCAGAAAGTCAGAATCTGCAACATTTCTATCATTTTTATTTTATTTTTACAAAAAACTGCTGATCTTTTCAGCCACTCTTCTGCTCTGAAAAAATGACTACATTTCTTTTTTCTCTTGTGACTGAGCTGCTGCTAAACTAAAGCTTAACTAAATTAAAGCTTTTGCAAAGTACTATACAAATACTAACATAAATATTTAGGGTCCCTTTACTCCCTACCTCCTCTTATGTCGTAATATGACAAGATTTTTACTTTTATTTTTGCAGGAATTTGACCGTTTAACAAACYTTTGTTTTGTCAGAGGAGAAAAGGCGCGTAAATAATGAATTTTAGACAAATAATTCTGTAAGATAATCTGTGCATTAATTATGTTTGAATCAAACCCGGTGCTGTTTGAACACAATAAYTTGTTTCTGCATCAGCTTGCACACATGGCTGCCATCTGAGCTCAGCTTTTGGAGGTGATTTTTGCAGTTCCTCCTCACTGTGCAGTCCTTTCGTTTTGTGTTTTAGAAGTCCGAGCGTCACATTAGTTCTTTATTRTTGCACTCATTAAAAGAGCACAGGTTTATTTTATAGCAGGGACCTGGTAGAGCAAATGTTTGTGAACAGCAGCATCTTCTGGCCTTTTGTGAGGTTTGCTTGGTAAAGGCTAAATTAATATACTGCAGCAGCAAACTCGGTTACAAACACTAAATTATTACAGATCAGCTTAACATCTTTGTGACATTTTTGTCTTACAGAGTCGGAGAAATAAATTAATCAAACTGTTTTATCATGCCGTTACAGTCAGCATCATTTRGTTAAACACGGCTCCACCACCATGTCTGTCTCCTGTCATCTGCAGACGTTACAATCATTAATAGTTCATCTTTTCTCTGTGTGCAGATTGTATTAAAAGTGCAAAAACCTGTAGGTGTTTTTTTCCTGGAGTTCTTCTCTGAGCTTTGTTTTCCTCATGTTGCTCTTTTTTTTAAACACATCTTATYCTGAGATCTGCTGACTCAGCGTTCTCTAAATTCCATTTGTTCGGTTACTTTTAGCTTTTAGCAAAACTTTAGGTAATTTTTGCTTTAAAAAAATTCTTCTACTGTTTTCAACTGTTAGCTAGCTTTTTGTGACTAAACCTGTTTTACTACTTTTGGCTTTTAGCTGGCTTCTTCCTACATTTAGTTTTTAGCAAGTGTTTCCCTATTTCTAATTACCTATTTGTATTTTTTTTATAACTTTTATTTTACTGCTTTCAGCTACTTACAACTTTGCACCTTTTGTAAATTTTAGCTTCTATCTACTGTTTTGTTATTTTGGCTTTTAGCTTGCCTTGTACTGCACTTAGCTTCTAGTGTTTTGCTATTTTTAGTTACCTATTTATTTTTTATAACATTTAGCTTTTCTTTTATGCTTTCAGCTACTCTTTGACTACTTTTAACCTTACTTTTAGCTACTGTTTTGTTTCTTTTGGCTGTTAGCTTGACGTTTTATGTATTTAGCTTTTGCTGTTTTGCTATTTTGACTCTTAGCTGGCCTTTTTCTTCATTTAGCTTTCAGCTAGCGTTTTGCTACTTTTAGCTACCTATTTGTTTTTATAACTTTTAGCTTTGCTTTTATTGCTTTCAGCTAATCTTCAATTATTTTGAATCTTTTGTGGCTATAAGCTGATGCTGGTATTTTTTAAATTTAGCTTCTAGCTAGTGTTTTGCTAATTTTAGATACATAATTATTTTTAATAACATTTATTACTTTTATGCTTTCAGCTACTCTTCATCTACTTTTAACCTTACTTTTAGCTGCTGTTTTGTTTCTTTTGGCTGTTAGCTTGACTTTTGCTACATTTAGCTTTTAGCTACTGTTTTGCTATTTTGGCTCTTATCTGGCCTTTTTCTTCATTTAGTTTTCAGCTAGTGTTTTTCTACTTTTAACTACCTATTTGTTTTTATAACTTTTAGCTTTTCTTTTATTGCTTTCAGCTAATCAACTGTTTTTAATCTTTTGTGGCCATGTGCTTCTGATGCTGGCCTTTTTTAAGTTTAGCTTCTAGCTACTGTTTTGCTATGATGTTTTTAGCATTTTCTCTGATATTTTGCGGAAAATTATTTTTCTCTTGTTTGAGACATTTATCGTCATGAACCTTTTGAAAACCAGAAGCTTTCAAAGACTGAARGGAGAAGCTCAGGATGGATGTCTTAAATAAAGTGTTTTTTTTAAATTACTGCAAAAATCCTCTCCTATTCAGCCGAACCGACCGTCTTACACAAACACATTCACAGACTAAATACACCGTWGAGACAAATTCCCTCTCGATCTTTCCCATGAACATGTTTCTCTGGTTCTGGACCCTCTTTCCACCCCCTCCGTCTWCATCAGTCCTGAGTTCTGGGCCTTCGCTCCCTCCGGACCACGGTGAAGGATTGTAACTATTTTCTCCAAAACGAAAAGCCTCAAACACAACAACAGCAGATTCGTCATCGCAGCTTGATTTGTGTGGTAGCGTGGGAGCTGTGATGTGCTCTCAGCAGCACCCTTCGCACACATCAACCCATCAGTGTTGCATGAAAAACTCTGCAGGTTCTGGAAGCTCCCCGCATCGCTCCCTCCCACAAAAAAAAAAAAGATTTACGAGTCAGAATCCTTCACAGCACTCACTTCCTGTCAGCGAAATCTCCAGACGTCCTCCTCTGTTTTATACTGTCACGTCCCATCTAGATGGCCGGCTGTGGAATTTAGTGCACGGCTGCATTGGTCATGTCCGCACATGTGTTTCTCTGCGGGAAGCTCTGCCGCTGTTTCACTGTCCTCATTCAGTTTTAACAGCTTCTCTTCCCTTTCTTTATGCACAGACTCACTTTGTGTTTTCTTTCTATTTCTTAATCACCTTTTTGGCAGGATCCTCATCGGTCCTGACAGAAATACTGTGTCATGGCTCCTAAACGGCTCCAAACCTTGGCTTCACGTTTGGCGTCATCGGTTAGCTTGACAGCTTTGTTTTCTGCTGCTGCTGCGACATTTTACTGCCCAACAGTAAGACGATTAAAGAAGCTGAAACACAAAGTAGACAGAAGGAAGGTGTCTGGTATATTTCATCACAATTTGCCTCGACAGGGAGATAAACTTATTTTTTATCTTTTTCATTTTTTACTGCAAATAACTGCACACCTCCAAGTGACATGCTCTGGCAATATTTATTAATATGCACCGGCCCCTGAGCACCTAATTGGCAGTTTTGGAACTGGCCCGACTTGTGATGGCTCCCTCAGCTGCCAGCTCCCTTCCTAAAATGGCTGTCCTGACCACAAGCCTTCAGTTGGCCGAGCACTTTTCACGGAGCTGGGCTGTAAATCCTTTTCCCTCTCCCTCCTCGCTCTCTAACGTCTTCATTACCCAGGCTGTTTTGTCAGCACACCATTGGGTGTAACAGAATACCATGCTGACCGACATTTAGGTCATTTCCTCCTCTTAAGACCAGATATTGCTCTGCCGCAAAGGTAGCTGGATTGCCAGATTGGAGCCCTCGATTGCCAGATTGGGGACCCGGCTAATCTAATTAGAGAGTGAAGGAAAGAGGCCCATGGGGCCTGCAGAACTGGGACCCATGGCGGAGCCAGGACCGGTTCCACCTTCTGAAAAACTACGCGCCGCAAAATACAATGTGGTAATGTCTGCGGGTCTAATTCTTCCGGACGGGAGAGAGCTGGACTCGGTGCTGCAGACGGCCACATCCCTCGCTTCAGAGAAAAAGAAAAAGGAGGGAAAAAAGGGGGGGCAGAGAGAAGAAAGAGTCCGAGGATGATTTATGTCCTGCTGTGCAGACACAGAAATAAATCCAGCGTCGTAGAGCAGAGAGGAGAGCAGGCCATAAAGCACAGGATCAGTTCAGAACTGGTTTCCCCCTTTTTTAAAAAAGAAAAACCCCAAATGAGCTCAAATGTTCCCTCATGTCAAAGCCAATCGCTTTGTTTTATGTCATCAAGGCCTTTAAAAAAGTCCCATTTTTAAGAGGAGGCGTGGCTGCCTGTGTGTTGATGACATACGAGTTTCGCTCTCTGAAGTGATCCCTGGTCTAACGGAGCTGATAATTGGGGTCTTCGGTGGGGAACGGGCTGGTGGCGGTGTGGGAGGCCTTGTTTCAAAAAATGTGCCTCCAATTTGAAGCCAAAGAAAATTATTGGGGTTGCTGCTCCTTACTTCACTTTGGGCTCGATGTGCTGCGGGGAGCCTGCATGGTGTCATGTTTTTATGCACCTACACCCACACACACACACTCACACACATGTGTGCACCTCCAGGTGGCTGGGAGCCGTGCATATATTTCACACCCACTCTGCTACGATCAATTTCACTTCTTTGCATGCGTCTAGTTAAGTGTGCAACTTTTACAAGGTAGAAGGGGATCGGTTTCAAACTCCCCCAGACGCCCCAGCTTCGCTCCGTCTCCATTAAACGGCCCTGATGCTGACCAGTAAAATGATCACTACGCCTAAGTGTGACCCCTGGAATCTGCTGAGGAAGACCAACAGAGGGAACACGCAACCTGGGTATTTGAGGGATCAAATAAACAAATCAATTTAAGCATATATGTGTGTATTAGCAGTTATTCCTGAGGGACATTTACAAACATTTAAAAGATTAACTGTCTAGATTAACTGTCTACTGCAACAAAACTGATTTAGTGAGATGTAAAAAAAAAAAATTATGAAATCATTTCAGAGCATAAAACAAAATATATGTTGTGTATTGCTTTATTCTACCGAGCCAATAGTGTTACAGTTGCACATGTATCACCTGCATGACTTGTTCTCATGTGACCAAAGAATAAACTTGGCCAAACTACACCTGGACCAATCCCAGGTCTCTTTCCTCTCAAACCCCTGCAGGTCGAGCTTCATCCTGAGCTTGGTTCTGATGGAAGTTAGGGGTGGACGTGTCAATCCACGTTTCGATACCTAGATGAGTATCGTATCYGATATGTACAAGCGCAATGAGAACCATTCATTTGTTTGTGTTTTTTATTTGCAGTTCTGGCTTTATCTCTCACAAATAAAGTAAAAAATAAAGTCCAAATGGTTAGGGGTTAGTTAGTCCTCTACATCAGAGATTCTTAACTCTTGGGCCGCGAWCGCCACAATGAGGGCCTCAAAAGAAAAAATCTATTTTTCAACTGTGGGCTGTGAGGTCCGTGAGATGTGAGTTGCAATACACTTTCTCACCACTAGTAGCAGTAGTGTGCCATCAGATGTTAGCCAACTCTTTCGATAGTGATGTTCAATACTGACAATATCCTATATGCCACGGTCATTAATGACGTATTTCCGGTAAAATTCTTGCCATGCTGCTCCCTTCCACTCCCTGCTTACTGCCTATGTTTTTAGCGTTAGCTCCTAGTATTAGTCCGTGAAAAAGTCACAAAAGTTGAAGCATCTGTGAGCTACTGGTATAAAACGTGAGTTCTGTTGTGTGCCGTTGTGTCAACTAACAAGCAGGTACGATCGAGTAGTTAGGTTTTATCCATTTTCCTTTAGATGAGGAGGTGACAGCAGAGGATCATAGCATTACAGGCAAAACTTATTTTTAAAAGCTCATGCTTGCATTTGTAATCGGCATTTCTAACCTGAAGATATTCAAGAGTCAGCATCAGAAATGAGAAGATGGAGGTTACAAAAGAGAAATGCACATTTATCCGCTTAATGCCAAGACCGAGAGAGSAAAGACCACCTCCACATGACAGCTAGCAGGAAGCTAACACATCAGCCGGTACAAAGGTAGGTGTGTGTGCGTGTTTGTGTTATATGAAATGTTTTTATGCAACTTTGTCACGAGTTTTATGCAAAAGTAAAAACTTGTTAGATTGTATATTACAGCGTAGACTAAAGCCGAGTGACGAGCCCCCCTCCCCCCGAGCACCGAGAGCAGCAGAACCT